CTTTCTAAAGATTCACTTTCAGAACATCTTCGAGAAAAACAGGAATCACTCAAATTGCTGACCACCAGATTCAATGAACATTTCAATAATGATTCATGGATCCAAGCAAGGCTTCCTGTAAACCTTGGCAGACTAGGGCTACGTTTATCTTCTTCCTTAGCTTCACGAGCTTTTCTGTCGTCAGTCAATAGTGTTTCTGATATTATCAATTCCACCCTTCCATATTTATCAATATCGAAAGACGTTTTTTATACTGAAGGTGAATCACTTTGGCATGCCGCAACTAATATTGCTCCTCCTACAGATAAAAAGAAAATACAAAGTGCATGGGACCGACCTCTTATTATAATTGATAAACTTTTGAAATCTACAAGTGTATACGGTTAGGCTCGTCTGAAAGCAGCAATGATCAAGGAATCGGGTGCTTGGCGGAATTCTTTACCTGTTGCATCTCTTGGAACACTATTAGACGATGAATCTTTCAAAATAGCAGTAGGGCTTAGGATGGGTTTATCTATTTGTGTGCCTCATACTTGTGTTTGCGGTAGTATAGTTGATGAGAAAGGTACACATGGTTTGAGTTGCAGGAGAAGTGCATCTCGACATCACCAGATGAACTACATATTGAAACGAGGTATGGTGTCTGCAATTCTGGAACCCTTAGTTACCAGTCGAGATGATGGTAAACGATCAGAGGGTATGTCTCTCATACCATGGAAATACTGTAAACCTGTGGTATGGGACTTCACTTGCGTTGACACGGTCGCGGTTTCCCATCTAGCCGAAAGTTCGAAGTCTGTTCGCAGCATCGTCTGTCGAAAAATTTGAACAAAAAAATACCAAAATCTTGGTAACAACTATCTGTTCCATCCAGTAGCGGTTGGAATTTTGGTGTTTATGGCGAGTCTCAGTTATTCGTTCATGAACTCTGAAGGAGAATACGCCAAGCAACGAAAGATCACCGTTCTACCTCTTTTTTTATAGAAAGAATTAGTATTGCTATTTAACGTGGTAATGCTGCTTCGGTCCTTGGAACTATTCCTCCTTCACATAATTTTGATGAGATCATGCAGTGCTCTTATTTCAGTACGGAACTAAAATCTCTTCAAAACAAGCCGAGATATGTGGATATTCATCAGTCTCCTATCAAGGTAAATTCGTAAGTGATTGTTCCACCTTCTTCTTTTTCAGTGCGGTCAATGGACTTAGGTCATTCTTCCCCCCAAATATGAGTTGCAGTCCACCTTCAAACAGTCCTCGTGGTTCTGGTTCCCTTTCAGTATGAGAGCTTCATGAAGCAAGAACCGAATCGATCCCTCTATGAAACCCTTTATCACTTGGAAGGATCGATTGCAGCTTGAGAAATAGTTCTTATGCAGATTTTGTGAAACATGTTCTTCCTTACGAATCAGTAGAGAGTCGTTCTGGACATTTTGAGAGGAAAATTGGATCAGATAATTTAGGAGATACTTGCTACATGAATAGCATTTTACAAGTGTTGTTCATGACGAAGAATTTCAAGAACGAAGTTTCAATTAGGAACGAGAACGAGAATCTTTCCTATTTATTCACCAAACTCAAACACCTGTTCATGCAGCTGCAGTTTCGTGAGAAAGTATCATCTTTCCCTCCAACCGATTTCCTGGAGTCTTTGAAGTCCACTAGATACTCGTTAGGACAACAAGAGAATTGTTTCTAATTCTTGGGGTTCTTGTTGAATACTCTTCGTGAGCAAAACAATAGCAGAGTCAATGCTCCTGACCGCTCTGGATTGAATGATTCCGTACTGTCTATCTAATA